AATATTATGCATCTTTTAAAAAAATCTAGCCTAATTTTCATCTATTGGAAAAAAATATTTGTGGATTGACACACATGTAACTAAGATATTAAAATTATACATTGTAGGAAATAAATGAAAAATTCCTTTAATCAGTATTTCGTTTAAATAAAAATCATTATAATGTAAATTTACAAGAAAAAATAAAAATACTTATTGCTTTCATAATAATATCAATCCATTTTAACTACAATTACTAATCAACAAATTTTGCTTAATAGCAATTTTTTTTTTTTTTTAAAGAAAACGAATATGTTAAAAACTTATTTGTAACCTCCTGAGTCCAGGCGTGCAGCCCACTGGACAATCGTTTTCTATGTCTTATTCTAACTTGAAATAAAATGAGTAAAACAGAGTATGGTTAAACCTGAAAAATTAAACGCAACAAAACAGCGAACGTGTCGGCAGAAAGCCTTCGTCAGCGAACAAAACAACAGAAAAAACGTTATAAAAATAAGAAATAGCACTTAGCTGGTAAGTAGTATCTGTGGGCAGCAATAGAAGTGTGGCAGAAGGAAAATGAGTGAGAGTTTAAATAAGCAGCGGCGAAAAAAAGAGGGGAGAAAAAAGTTCACTGTGATAGGTCAGAACGTGGAGGGGCGGAGCTAGGGTCAAGCTGTGAACAGAGACATAACATTAATCCCATCTGGCGTCAAAGTGCCGTAAGTCAGGATAAGTCTGTGTTCCAAATTGACCCAGCTGGCGGTGTTAGTGCTAGCCACAATCGCACTTATTGAAAAGTCCGCCTTGCCCCGGTGGTCGCTACTATTGAAGTGTTTGGAGACGGGACACTGATTATCTTGTGTAATGTTTCGGAGGTGTTCGGTACACCTGTCCGAGAGACGGCGTCCAGTCTCCCCTATGTATGTCATCTGACAGCGGGTGCAGACAATGGCGTAGATAACGTTGCGGCTTGTACAGAGGAAACCGTCGCGTATCTGAAAACTGCCCTTGGGGAAACGTATGCGTTCAGTCTGGACACCACGTGGTGTCTCTTTTTAATTAAAAAAAAGTAATTCATTCTTAAAGTTACCTTTAACACTTTGATTCTTTTTAATATTTTACAATTCTGTGGTGAAAAATCTTACCTAATCTTATGTAGAAATCAAGTCCAGGACAAGCTCTTATTTATCAAATATAATTATCATAATAAAACTGCAGACTGTTTTAAGAAATAATATTTGTTCAGAGTCCATAAATATAATTAAGAAATAATGTAGTTTATCAGCCTGTGTTATGTGAGGAAAAACTGTTTGGCTAAGCAGAAGAAATCATTATCGTTGCCACAAATAATGCAACACGCAATTATAACTAGGCTGAAAAGTACTGTGGCGATATCTATCGAGTTTTCTGTGAAAACACAAAACAATATTATGAAGAGTCGATAATTAAATACGGTAAGAACAAAATTAGAAAGCATGGATTTCACACATTTTAGGTTTACAGTTGGCTTTATTAGAGATATAAATAGACTATTTATGGCATTCAGATTCTGCCTCCCAAAGTTCCCCCATCATGCCTCAGGAGGGAGGGATGCAGGCGGGGCCCAGTAAGGGGAATTTTTTTTTTATGTACATAGCCAAATTTTATGAATGGTAATATTACATTAAGAAATGGCGTCAGCGGGCCATCGAGTTTGCGCTCTTTATGCCCTCCCCAACCCGGTATCGGGCCGCGGAGTGGCACGTGGGGGATGTCCCCCACCCGAGTCTGCTCGACCAGGTCTCCACCGGGAGCCGTCCTAACCCAAAGATACCCGGTCGGTCCGACACTGTGTTTGCACACAGTGCACACGACCGACTTTCTCAGGAGTCGGGATGGACAATTTTACGTTCTAATATCTTCCCCCACCCATCCCGGGGAAGTGTTAGACGCCCTATAAGAGGGATTCTACAGTGGGTTTCCACAACGCAACTAATTTGCGATGTAGCTGGGACGAAACGGTTGCCTTGGAGCAGCTTCTCAGGGCTGCGTAGTAAGAATCATCGGCCAGAGGTTACCACCTTCGCCTCTCGCCTCATATCCATTAACGGCAACTTGTAATCATGATTCCTACCCTGTCACTGCCTATTGTTCCAGTTGGGAAATATCACAACTGGCAGCCCTGTAGGAGCTGTTTTATGTACAGCAGGTACCGAGCACATCCCTTGTCTGCCCACGCAGGACGCGCCCAGTGGTCGTGTTCCCCGGGTAACGTCGAGGGGGTCGGTGGCCGACGCCTACTAATCGACAAGCCACCACAAGCCACTATCTGGAGCCCAAACACGCAAGGAAAAATAGAAACGTGATGAGATTAATAAAAAAAGTGGGGTGGGGGAACAAACGCTTTTTTCAATTTGGTGTTATTATATGCAAAACGAGTGAAACTAACCAAAAGAAAACTTTAACTTCAGATGTATGTGAGACAATTGCAGAAATGATAAAAAGCTCAGAATCTCAGGCCAGTTTGGATTTTCAAGAAACATCAGATCAATTCTCAACTTGATTTAGAGAAACAATTAAATCTTGGTGATGAGAGTATTCCATTGTCTACAGAATCTGGGCATGGCAGACATATAAAAGAGAAGAGTAGTTCAAATAGTGGAATTGATATTGGACTTCGTATGACAGAGGTGCATTCCCAGTTTAATATAGAATATTATGCATTAAAGGTCACACTGGCTTTCCCACAGCTCTCAAATATAGAGATAACCATGTTTTTTGTTTTTTTGTTTTTTTCCTCCGTAAGTATTTTAACATTTCCAAGTTTAAATTATGAAAACAGGAGCGAGATTGGCTGGTCTGGGGTGAAGTTAAACTCGCATTACTTTGTTTTCCTTGTCGATCATTTTGGAACAAGGTCTGATGCAGCATTAGCTCAGCATTTAAGTCTACGCTTGCAGGAGGATGTTTAGCAGCTAAAAAGTGGTGAAAATTACGTTTTCTCACCCCAAAACACGAGAGGAGAAATAATCATAGGCACTGCTGTTTGGTTAACTGGCAAAGACATTGAAAGTCGATGGCGGCATCAAATGAAACAGAATCTGTCAAGTGGTAAAACATTATCAAACGAATAATTTATGATGTACTACGACTTGGTGAACGGGAGATTGCTTTGCTTGACAGTTTCAGGCACATTGGTGAAAAAGAATATCAAAATTTTGTGGGATTTATAGAGTCGTTGTCTCATGGGACCCATTCTAAAAGAACATGGGTTGCAAGTTCAAGAGTCATTAGAAAAAGGAGAACGACTTAAGTACATTTATCTCAGTGTTGATTCCCAAAACGAGTTGATTGCTAAACGTTCCTCACTTTTGAAAAAGCAAATTTTAGAGGATAGGAAATAACAGCACAGATGACAGTAGAAGCATTGAATGAATCAGAATGATAAGTCACTGTTAAATTGTCCTGCACAGGACTATGGCAATGCAGCCAACATGGCAGGAAAATATAAAGGATGCACAAATAAGAATACTTGAGTACAAAGTGAAACTTTCATCATGTGGATGCACACATTTAATTTGTGTGGAAATGACGACACAGAATGCATTCCTGAAGCCATAACATACTTAGAACTGTCCAAACTGTTTCCCCTCGTATAGTTGTTTAATTCTAGTACAAAGCGATGTTGAAATCTGGCTGGTCTCTTCCCGGCAAGTCTAACACACGAGGATCAGACCGTGTTTTAAGTATAAAGCTCATAACGCTGGCTGTCGAAGTGTCCTACTTAAAATTAAAAAGCTTGATGTCAGAAATGACAAAGCTTCGGAACAACTGGAAAAAGTATCCAGTGCCGTCTTAAGACATGGGCACACACTGTAATATCATTGGATTTAAAGTTTTGTCATCCACGTAAAAATTTACACATCCTATTTCCTACCCCCGATATATATGTACCTAAGAAGGTTAATTATTTATCCCCCCCCCCACACACACAGAGTTAAAAAATAAATAACATCATCCACGGGATTGTAACCCCCTTACGTATGCAAAGACACATCTTTTGCACTTCAAATGGTTTGTTATTTTTTTGGATGAGTGATTGTGCATTAGTGCATGCTATTTGGCTATGGATTTTCGCTGCACTGGTGGAATTTAATGGAATTTTTATAATTAAAAGTATATTTAAAGGTTAAGTTTTTATTACTTTATACATTTAATAAAATTATATTTTTAGAATGAATAAAAAGTAAAAACGTATTAAATTTAAAAAATGCAAAGCTATTTTTGTGTGTTTTACTAATAATTGAAATAGCAATCAATTATATGTATCAATTTTACTTTTAAGAAGGTCGAAATACATTATCAGTTTTGTCACCTTCGGTTATTAAATAAAAACAAAAAAACTTAGAGCTTTGGTCATGATGCCATTTGCGAATTAATTTAAAACAAATTAATTTTATTTCGTAATATTATCAACGCACTATAAAATGCACTACAAACAACAAATGTTTGGGTTTTCCCGATTAATGTGATTACGATGTAATTCTTAGATCATAATTTTTGCATTAATTTTTTCGTAACTTTTAAATTCAGATTAAATGCTTAAAATAGTTTATTTATTATGTCTCTACTTTAAATGTATTTGTAATTTATTATAATAATAATTAAACTTTTACGTACCTAAGGGGATACATTTTATTTTTTGCGCATTTAAATTTATTCTATTTCCGTAAAATAATAGAAAATAACTTTCATTTTTTTTTTTAAAGAATGCGAATACATTTAAATCACTTCTCTTTTTTTTGGTGTTACGTTCATCCTAGATCATTCTTATGTATATAATATAATATAAAGTTTTATTTTTAAAAAATGTTCTTGATGAGGTGACTTAAATCATTTCTAAATTTTGAAATACATAATGCATTTGATATTTTATTAAAAAAACTATATGTTTTAAATTATTAGAACGGTTAAATATTTTTTTTTTCCATTGAATTAAATATTTGGGCGAAGTAAATATTTGCAACGGGGTTACTTTTACTGCAGATTTGTTATTTTGAGAAAATGCCAAATAGACTACAAATATAGTGAATATATATATTTACGGATATATTTTCATATATTATTGAAAACACTTTTTTAATGTATGAAGATATATGTAAAAATAATTTTAAAAATAATAATATACCTGAACTCTTTTGAGTCACAAATTAATTATTTTATAAATTAAAACTCAATACTTGAAAAATCCCGACTCTGTCGCTGCAACTTGCAAGAAATACTGTTTGTCACGATTATAGGATAACACATTAAAAACAATAGGAAGAAATTTAAAAAAAAAAATTATTGTGGAAAATGGTGCTGAAAGAGAGTCACGATGTGGAGATGAAGGATGCTACTTCAGTTGAACCTGTAAAGACAGAGGACAGTGAGAAAGAAGAAAAAAAGGACCCCGAGTTACTAACTTTAGAAGGTAACCAGCCAAAATTTTATGAACTCACTTAATACTTAAGTTTGAAGATAATGAAGTCACCGAGACTGTAAAACTGTAAATGTGTACTGTGTGAATCAATGGAACATACCAGTTGGTTCTGACAAGTAAATATTCTATCAGTATTAGTCAGTAATCTCACAAGAAATATAATTATCAGCTGAAGGCTAGGACTTACAAAATGGCTATTCAGACCTGGGTATCAGAAGTGAGAGGTTGGGATTAAAAAGTATTAAAAGTATTATTGATGGGTTTGTAAGACAAAATTTGGTATCAAATGAAAGATAATGGAATGGGCAATATGTCTGTAAACTTACTTCTTCAGTTTAACTAAAATAGACCTAAAAATAGACGACCACAAATGGCATCTGAATGGCATTTAGATTTAGTGTAGAAGGACCCGGGTCCAAATTATGAATAGCAGTTATGTCTACCTGGGTACCTTTCGACTAAATGCTATTCGAATGTCATTTGTGGTAGTTTTGTCTTACAAACCATACAAACAATAATATTATTATTAGGCACTTAGGTAAGGCAAGAGAGACTACTTCAAAATTTGTATCGGAAATGAGAATCGGGGCTGATTCTTAGTTTTCACCCCGTGACGCCATTTGCATGTTTTTTTTATAGTTGCAGTGAATTAGGGTTCAGGTTAGGCATAGAGATCGATTTAGGGTTCAGGTTAGGCAATGGGATCGATTTAGGGTTCATTTTAGGCATAGGGATCGATTTAGGGTTCAGGTTAGGCATAGGGATCGATTTAGGGATACATTAGTGACAAAATTAACTGGTTGTGTCAACCAAGATGGTGGCCATCGCGGGACGTTTTCTAATAATTTACCGGGAATCGGTGCAGAAGAATTTTTTAATTTTTGCATGTTCGTGCTTTTTCATTGATGAAAGGACTATTTTGTCATGGAATTGTGGTATTCATCCATATGTAAACGGTAGTAGACATCTTGACCTACCTTTCTATCATAAATTTTTGCCTTTTCAATCGACGCAAATATTAGAAACAAGGGTAAATATGGGTATCTTTCCCTACAAAATTTCATATGAAGATCAAATTTTATGTCTTTCATATTAATTCCTACTCTGTAAAATATATTGATGTATATGTGTGCCAATTTTAAATGAGCTAGGACAAGTCGGCCATTAGTTATGTTCATCTAAGTGACCTGCATTACCATAAGATCACCCTGCCCCACTTAGACCACGCCCCCTTTTTAATGGGGTGAAGATGCTGATACTTAGGAAATATTTAATTATTACCACTGTTGACATGATAATATTTGATAACTTGTGTTTTAGAATGAACCTAGATGTAATATAATATAAAATAATATTTTAATTTGAGGTTCAAAAACCCGGTAGAGTCCATATTATAAATGATCATAATTTGCCAGGTGCGAAACATGGGCATGGGCAGCCATTCACAGTCACTTGCATAATGGCTATACCATAATTCTATCTCAGAGTTGCATTCATAAAAGTTTGCTGCGTGTAAAAACTATTAAACCATTGGTTAGGAAAAGCTTTAATCAATTAATCATGTGCTCAATGAAATTTTGCACACTTATAATTTGCAGATTTAAAATTAGTATGAAAGACATACATTTAATATTTCAATCAAATTTTAAATCGACAAAGGATTTTCCTCAGTTAAAGATGATATAAAGAACAATACCACTCAATGAGATTGTAGGCCAAGATATCTGCTAATGTGAAAGGGTTGAGTCAGAACTTAATTATGGGTCAAAAGGACTCCTGTTTTATTAAAATTAACCTCACATGAAAAAATTAAAAACCCGGGGATAGTCAAACCAGTGCCAGTGATCATATCATTTTGTATGTTATTATTTGTTATCACCACTTACAAGGGGGACTGAAATCACATTATTAGTAGGAATATCAAACCAAAATGTAATCATGGTCTGATAATTATTTAGCAATATTTGTTATAGGCCTAATAAATTTTAATGAATAATTCAAAATACATGAATGCCTTATTAAATGCTGGTTACGATCCATATGTTGACAATTTTATTTCGAAGAACACCTCAATGACAAGAGGTTTCTTAATAGTGCACAAATGTTGCCATAAATGAAAAAAGATGGCTTGAGCTAAATTTTTTATTTTAGTACAGTTCATTAAATTGTTATAGATAGTATTTTAAAAGTAAAATACCTAGCCTACAAATAATGAAAAGGAGGGGTTGGGGGGGGGGGGAGAAAATGAAATCAGGATAGGAAAAAAAAAAAAATTGGCAAAGAGTAAGGGAAAGCCTGAAAAAAAAAAAAGAAAAAAAAAAATGAACATGAATTTTAGTACAGTTCATTAAATTGTTATAGATAGTATTTTAAAAGTAAAATACCTAGCCTACAAATAATGAAAATGAGGGGTTGGGGGGGGGGAGAGACTGTAATCAGGTTAGGTAAATAAAAATAATTTGCACAAGGTAAGGGAAATCCTGAAAAAAAAAGATGCAAAAAAACAATGAACATGTCGGCAAGAAGGCTTCGTCAAAGAGTACAAAATTTAAATATAATTTTTAAAAAACTTTATTTAAATGGAGTATCCTAGACAGAGAACAGCAGAAAGAAGTTAGTAAATTCTTAATAGATAAGGAAATTAATATGGGCAAAGAAGGAAAGGAAAGTTGATTTTCTTATATGAAGTACCAAAACAAATCGATTTAAACTATAGAACCTAGTAAAAAAAACCAATGGAAGTCACCATTAAAATGCCAGAATGTGTAAGAAATGCAAGAAGCAATCTGCCAGTCTCGAGGCTTGTATTATCTGGCCAGCTGATCGACCATTTGTCTTCTTTGTTACCATTCGACTCTTGGGCTCATAGATCAGCCCTGATGTCTCCAAAGGCTTAAAATGTGATAAAATACAATAAAAGTGGTGTTAACAAGTCCCTTTGCTGCCCCATTTAAAGTAGGATAGACCATAACCATAAGATAGTGTGCAGGGTAGCATTTTATTGACTAGGCCTAAGCCAACTTATAATTTTCAGCATTGTTTTGCAGTCTTAGTGTGTGAAAGGAGCAAAGTTGAAATTGGGTCAATTTTTAAAAAAATCCCTTAATTATGTGAGTGTGCCTTAAAATGGGTAACTTTAAACAATATGACTGTGGCTTACCATTATCATGGTCTCTGAGAGAGAGTATTAGTAACTATTAGTATTGTTAATAATGAAACATTGCTATTAGCATCTTGATAATCCAAATCTTGTTTTCAGTGGAAACCAAATGACCTATTTTCTTCTACTCTGTAACCTTATAACAATTATTTAAAACAAAATTTTCTATGAAATTTTAATTGACAGATATTAGAGAGCATGTTCGAGATATTGAGAAGGCTTTTGCAACCAAGGAGCCGCGATTCATGTCTAGGGTGATTCGTGCTCTTGTTTCTGTACGCAGAAAGCTCAACCCCAGAATCTTAAGATCCCTTATGAAGGGATACTTTACAGCTCCTAATGTGACAAACAAAGAAGAACTTTTACCATTTCTTGCAGATGTAAGTTTTTTTATAATAATTTTTAAAAAATGCTTAAATTGTAAAGATTTTTGGTGTAGTATATATACTTCAAGCATTCTATTGTATGTCATAATATTATAATATTAAATAGTTGTTTTTTTAACATCAACTTTAAATCATAATGCTTGCTTGGCTCTTGAAATAAATTGATTTTAAAATAATTTTAGGGTCAGAGTGAAGGAATGAATGGTGTTTCTGGAGTATTTCGTCCACGTTCTGGGAAACTTGCTCAGACTCCAATTCTTCCTGAGGTTGAAATCTATATTCATTTACTTGTCTTGATCTATTTGATAGATACCAAACAGTTTGATAGGGTGAGTACAGATTGCTAATATGATAAGGAGCTCTCATAATTCATCTTTATTTTCTGTTATCTTTTATTTAGTTTGAATGAACTTTTGTAAGTTTATTTCATTTTAATATATATTTTTAACATGTTCTAGTATCCCTTTTAATGACCAAAGAAGAGTTCAGCAGTTTAATGGCTTCATTTGTTTAAGAAAAAGCACATTGGGCATATTATAAAAATATAATTAAAACTTGTTATAACATGGTGTTAAAATAAGGAGACATTCTTTTTTTTTTTTCTTAATTCTCAGGCTGTTGAGTGCTCTGAGCTTTTAATGAAAAAGCTTGTATTACAAAACAGAAGAGCTATGGACATGTTGTCTGCCAAATGTTACTTTTATTATTCAAGAGCCTATGAGCTGACAAACAAGTTGGAGGGTATCAGAACGTGAGTTTGGGTTTTATTATTTACATTTGTGTATCCTATTACAAATAAGAAAATTAAATTAAAACAATGAGCAGATCATGGACCTCATTATCACAATTCTTACTTTGTATTTTAATTTTAATGACCCAATGAAGACCACTTTGTAAACTGTCACACTTAATAAAATCTTATACTTTACTCAACCTTTAAATTTCTTTATTTCATTGTCAGGTTCTTGCATGCAAGACTACGAACTGCCACTCTACGGAGTGATCATGAAGGTCAAGCAACATTGTTAAACTTGCTACTCAGGAACTACTTGCATTACAACCTATTTGAACAAGCTGATAAGTTGGTGTCCAAATCAACTTTCCCAGAGAGTGCCTCCAATAATGAGTGGGCTCGTTACTTGTTTTACTTAGGTTGGTTAAATAAGTAAAAATAGCACCATTAAATACTTTCAGGCAAACCTGTTTGTTTGATTAGGTTCTACTTGTATATCTTGCCATTCCGGGTCAGTAAGGCATAGACAAATGGGCAACACATCAAAACCTAGGCTCAAATTTCAAGAAATGCCTAACATAATTTGGTGAATTATCTGCTGACAAGCCTAAACCAGTTAGGATTATTGTGTGAAATTTAAAGATATTGCTGAACCCATTGCATTTTAACCACTTACAAATAGCAACAAAAAAAACAAAAAAAAAAAGCAGGAATTTTTGTATTTTTTTCTTCTTCATATTTATGAAGCATGATCTGCTTTCCCCTGTTCTCATGACATTTTTTTGCTTTTGAATATCAGTCACAACTCTAAAGTTCTATTTCAACAACTGAGTTAAGATTCTTTTTAGATTAAGATTCATGCACCTGCCACAAATACTTCAATAATTTCATCAAGTGATTGTTCTTTTCATTGCTTGCAATATTAAGTAGTTTGTCTAGGTGCCACATTGCTCTAGGTCATTAATTTTCAATTTAAGGAGCATACATCACCAGGGTAGAATAAAATGTTCCAGGTTATGTAGAGAGACGGAAACAAAATTAAATATTACATTTAGAAATCCAGCCCGAAAGATAAAATATGCACATGGTGCATAGGCCTACATGTTTAGCAGATCAGTTCAGTGTTACCAAATTCCAAAAGACTACTGTACAGACTTCACTTTATAATATCTAACACGACTCAGATCAAAGACTTCATAGAGAATGTGTATTTTACAGGACGCATCAAGGCTGCACAGCTGGAATATTCAGAAGCACACAAACATCTGCTACAGGCAACTAGAAAGGCCCCACAATACAGTGCTATCGGCTTTAAACAAACTGTAAGTCTAAGCCTTTATGACTAAATTAGTTTTTGTTATACTGTATAGATTTTATTTGATGTCTATATCAGTGGTTCTCAAACTTTTTTGGCCAACGCTCCCTTGGCACCAAAACCCATCCCTTGCCCCTTGTTACACCAAAATAATTTTATATTCAGGACAGAATTAGCACAATTATGTAAGAAAGATAATATTATAAAATGAAATAGTGTTATATGTAATTAAACTGTTAATTAAAATGTAATAAGACTTTTTACTTGAATTAATTCAATAATAAATTGAATAACTTGATCTATTAACCCTTTACAGAGCAGAGGTACGTCCTCTTGCTAGTCCTGAATGGGCACCAATCCTCCGGTTTTTAGTAAGATTTAGGGTTACATTAGTAAAAAAATCAAATCTAAGGTGTTAGTCAACAAATTTTTGTGAAATAAAAAGCAAAATAAAGGAAAATGAATGCCGATTTATAATTTTGCTCACATGTTGCCATTAATCCTCATATGAACACAAATATTTACAAAAAACAACATATTGTTTGTTATTGTGAGTCATCTATTTACTATTTACAAACACTGCCACAAAATCGAAGTTTGTAAAATTCAACGCTGCTTAATACGCTGATTACACTAATATTACTGATAATATTAATATCTAGTTCCAATTGACAGTCAATTCGAGCACTTCAATGTAACTTAAATTGTATCCAGCGAAATCTGGGCTATCACTTAAATAATCGTCACAATCCATTTTGAATTTTTTTTTCTTAAAACCCCTAAAACTACAAACAAAATTTGATTAAATACTTGTAACTGGCGCCCACTTTACCCAGCTATCGGAAAAACTGGATGTAAACAATAGGAAGTCTCGCAAAGACTTGGAGGTCACGAGTTTACAACTCTATGTTGTCACGGACGTTTTACCTGGTAAAGGGTTAATACCACAACTATTTTAAAGTAGGATTATGTTAAAGCACTTAGAAATAGGAAATTACTTCAATATTGCTCAAATATGCTTACTCAGACTGTTTTCTTTGGATGGGCTTAGTAAAGTGATGCCATTTCTTCAATGTTGGATATAAGGAAGCTTAACAACACTCTTAAATCAACACTTTCACAAATATTGATGAAATTTCTTTGCAAGACCCGGTCTCTTGACCACTTTCTGCAATGCATAATAATGATATGATATGAAATTTTCTTCTGAAACTCTTAGATACCATTTCCTAAGCTTTGGCTTCAGCTCTGAGCTAGCTAGTCATCAAAATAACCAAATGTATCTGCAACTAACAAAGGATTGATCACCCAGTCTAAAATTTCAATTAAAATAGATCCTATAATCACTCAGACACAATTTTATGTACAATATTCAAATGATCACAAAATAATTTAAGCAGTAGCATCACGGGGGGGTTTGCAGACTGCACCGAATGACACCTCACAGGGGGATGAGATGACACCAAATAGAAAATTTGGCAATGTTCGCTTAATCCGTTTCAAAACAGACCTTAACTAAATACATGAAAATGGTGCCACCAAAACATGGTATTACCACACAGAGCAGGTTATTGCTAGACCAGTTTGTCACCACAGCAGGTTGTCTCCAGAACAGGGTGTCAACAGACAGAGCAGGGTGCCATCAGAGTAAATTGCCACAAGAGAAGGTTGCAAATAAGGGTGTCACCAGAGCAGGCAAACTCAGTAAGGTTCATGGGACAGTCTGAAAAGGAGGGGGATGGCACTATGGATAACACGAACTTTAGCGATGCCACCTACTTTCTCATCTTGTTAACCACCCCCCTCCACCCCTTTTTCTCTTCCAGGTCTGACAGTCATGAGCAGAGTTACTTTAGATATGAAAGTAGAGATTATTCATTTGGTTTTACTATGATTGACATCCTCTTCCAGCAAATGTAAATTGGTTTAATTGAAATTTGCATATATTTCTGGCAATAACAAAGTCATGTCTGATGACTTGGGGTCAGAACTGAATGAAGCATTTGCCTTATTTAAAAATTAAAGTGTCAAATAACAACTAAAAGTGACTTAAAACACACACATTGTGAAAGTCAAAAGACTCACCCTGATAAAAATGATGTGTATTTAATTTCTGAATCAAGACTAATTAACTTTCATGAAAAAAAAGACATAAAAATAAATAATTCTAGTTAGATTCGACCTGTCAGCACACTGATGACCATCTCTAATGATGCATTGCCTTCTGTACACTAAAAATATACATTCTTGTTTGAAAAACTAACATTGATAACAATAAAAAATATTTACTTTTAAGTTGTAGGTAACACAAGAGTAAATAATCGTTATGATTAATTTTTTAAATTTTGGCTTGCATTGAATGTGTAGTTAAATGTCAGCCTCACCTCTTTAAAGTGCATTAATTTTCTTTCGTTTATTGATTTTGTCTTAATAATTAAATATTTCTTGTTAAATGTCCCATATACTGTTTGACTGATGTAAGTGCATGACTCATTTTCAAGGCCGATAATGATCCCATAATGTTAAATCATTTTTGTCAAAGTTTGAATAATTTAAATTTTTTAAAAAAGGTTTTCTGATGCAATCCACCACTGTCCCTTTTGCAGTACTAGTGCCCACCTAAATTTACTGAGCATTTTACCACTCCATAGAGGACATCCTACATCACATCTCAGTACTACCCATTTTGAGAACCACTGGTCTATACTTGTCTTTAACTGCATAGATTTTATTTGATGGACTATATTTACTTTTGTTTTAATGTATAGATCTTATTTGATGGTCTATACCTAGATTTTTCATAGTGTATGGATTGTATTTGAGGGGCTATACCTAGCTTTTGTTATATTGTATAGATTATATTTGAGGGGCTTTAAGTATGATAACTAGCTTTTGTATAAATTTGAACAAGTTCTGTATTCTAACAGCTTCTTTGATAGTTGGTTAAGTGGAATATTCTTTCAAACTTAGGTTCAGAAACTGGCAATAACTGTAGAACTTTTGCTGGGAGACATCCCAGATAGGTCTGTGTTTCGGCAACAGTCCATGAGGAAAACACTAGCACCATACTTCCAACTAACACAGGGTAAGCTAGTTGTTGAATACTGTCTAAGACTTAAATGAAACAAGGTTGCTAAAAAAATGGTTGAAAATAAGAAAATGCTTTTCTCTCCCAACTGTAAAAAAACTGAGCAAATCGTCAGTTGATTGTTGTAACAAAGTTTTTTAATAAATAATAGTACGTCTTTCACCCTGATCCTAAATAAATTTCATTTCATTTTTCAGTTTGTCTTCCTAATTTCTTTTACTTTTGTTTATTCAATTTATTACTTTTTTAAAATTCACTCTGCTATTACAATTTATTATTTCCTTAATAATGTTTAAAGTTTTCCTATTTGTTTTACAGCCGTCAGGGGAGGTAATCTGCAGAAGTTTAATGAGACACTTGCTAAATTTGGCAGAAAGTTCCAGACAGAGAACACTTACACCCTGATTGTGAGGCTGCGTCACAATGTAATCAAGACTGGTGTCAGGATGATAAGTCTCAGCTATTCGCGTATTTTCCTTTCCGACATTGCACAAAGATTAACCCTAGACAGCCCAGAAGATGCTGAATTTATTGTAGCAAAGGTTAAATTGACTTCTTTTATTTTGTATATGTTTTTTGGAAGCATTTGAAAAAATACAATAGGTTTATCTAATTATTTTGGTTGTGAAGCTTAATCCGGAAGGAAATGTTATTGTATTAAGGCACGAATTCACCCATGGTACATTTTAACTCTTTCCCTCCGGATCAACGCTCCCATCGTCGATTTGATATGAAGATTTTGGCGTATCGACGATGGGATCGTCGATGTATAAAAATCTGTTTATTTCGGTTCTTTTCTTAGCTATTGGTATTTAGTTATTTTAAATCAATTCTAGAATGATTTCCCTTTCATAAACATCCGGTTTTACTGTGTTTGAACGAAGAACGAATTGTTTGAAGCGGTTGTTTTGATTGTCCATTTTATTTTTGTTTACAAACATGAAATCTTGACCTGACCCATCTGGTGATCGATCTAATAAAGGTGGAAAATATTACTCTGATGATGATTCAGACAGTGATTTTATGATTTCAAATGCAGAGGATGATTCTGTTGAATCGTATGATTATAATCCTAGTACTAGTATTAGTAGTACTAGTGACAAAATAATGAAACTAGTAATTTATCAGCTGATGAACAACCAGCCCCGCCCCCAACTAAAGGGCACATCCATATGGATTGTTTTTTAGGCTTACTATAGCTAAACCCAGATGGAAAATGTGATTATGTATGGTAAATTTTCCATTTACTATTAATTTATTATAAATTTTAGTACATACAAGGATACAGTGCAATTATTTTCTAAATAGCAACAGATTGTTTCCAGTGGAATTAGTTAAATTTTTTTGCTAATTTTTTGTGTGGCGGTGACAATGGATAATGTGCTGTGAGGTTTAATTTTTGCTTTTTTGAAAGTTGATCTTTATTATTTGTGAAGCACATATGGATATAGTTCAGAAAAAAAACATTTTTTTGGATTATATATTTCTCTTGGTGTGACTTCAAAGGAGCGTTTTGTGAACATTTGGCGAGTTTTTTAAAATAAATTTTTATTTTCCTTAAATCACAATCACATTTATTTATTAAAATTTAAACCCAAATCTTGTTTGCTTGCAAAGAGCATGCATTTCCCTTTAATTCCATACCAAAATTAACATTTTCTGATTAAAAACAAAAAAGTTATGAAGGTTTAGAGAAAACATAGTAGTGCGTAACAAAACCCAAAATAGATAATTCCGTCAGAACGTGGAAAATAATTCCGGAGGGAAAGAGTTAATTATACATTTTTTGAAATAGATATCTAAGCATTATTTTGCTCCTTAAATGTAAAGTTTTCTTAACCCTAATTATAAGTATAAAGTATTCCATTTTTTTCAATCATATTATTTACATTTCTCAAATTCTTTCTCTTTTAAGTCATTAGTTCAGTGTGTCCTGAAGTTCTGCTTTTGTATGTTTTCTATGCAGGCTATCAGAGATGGTGTTATTGAAGCTACAATAGACCATGAACAAGGTTATGTCCAGTCAAAAGAGACAGGAGATGTGTACAGCACCAAGGAACCAATGGCTGCTTTTCACCAGAGGATCAGCTTTTGTCTTGATATCCACAACCAGAGTGTTAAGGTGATTAATAAATAAATGTATAGGTTAGCAGGGCGTTTTGATAACTTCCTAAAAGTAATGATTATCAAAATCCAATGTTTGATGGGTTTCTTTTATCAGATTCTTTTACACGTTCATAAGTCATAATCACACCCAAATGAACACGAGTCCTTTTTTTTGTTTGTATTAACAATGTAACTTTAATCAAGGAAGCATATCTATCAGGCTATACATTTAATCAAAAACATGTATAGCGCAATAAGAAGGAGAAATAATGCAAAACCATCCACTATAAAGTTCTTTAGACGACTGCTAATGAATAAGTACGGAACGCCAAAGACAGTCTAGACTACGTCATAATTACAATAAATATATGTCACCAAGTTAATGGCTGGAAAAGCGCTCGTTAACTAACTCTCACAACACATCACACTCAATACTACACATTATCCAGTGCGCTAGAATTGCTAGTGAACCCCATAGTCGACAATGATCTCAGGAATATTTTTAAAAATGAAAAATTAATATTCTTTTAAAATGATAAAACACGTCATCACCTCGGAAAATTTTTTATTAAAACGCAAAAAATAATATTTGTAGACAAAATAAAGTGAAGAAAAACACCCTTGATTTAATTTTTAAACAAAACAAGCAGAAATTATCAACAAAAAATGCATGCATGACAAAGTGCTGCAAACGGACACTAGTAAATGAAGACTTAAATGTTTTTAAACAAGAGAATATTTATTTTGAATTTTTGGAAGGCAATCTTAGGCTTGTCAAATCTGCTTCAGTGACTGCTTTAATGGCTCTTTCTTGTTAGGAATTTTTGCCAGCTAGCAAGCCAGTGCTTTTTATAATAAATTATTTATAGCTAATTTTGCTTGATTCAGGATACTAGTACTATTCAATACAAACAGTTTTTTGAAGTGAAAAAACTTATTGACACAATGTGACTTTTTTTTAGTTTGAATTTTATCATCACTGCTTTTGTATTAAAATAAAATTTTTCAAGTACAAGTGTTAGTTATTCCAAGTTATTCAAATTTCTAGTGTCATCATCCTATAGTAAACCATTTGCACCAAAAGGATACTAGATTTTCATTGCTTGTTTATGTACACAAATATAAATATGTAACATTAAATCTATTGATATCAAAACCATTTATTATATCTAATTGTGATCCTTATGAATTTTAGAATTAAAAACTGATTTCATAGGCATATGGGAGACAAAGTTTTCACTTGTGTGGATCAAACTTTCTGTTTTCTCTTTTCAGGCTATGCGATTTCCACCCAAGTCATATAATAAAGATCTGGAATCTGCTGAGGTGATTTTACAAACATTAGTCTTTAGTTGCTGGTTATTGAAAAGATAATTCAACCATAGTTATATACCGGTAGATGTTAATTTTTCTTTATGTTAATTTTTCTTTCAGTGGTACCTCTACGAAAATATTTAAATAATAACAAAAATTTAAAGAATTTTGTTTGTCAACTAAACTTATGAAACTGTTAATTTTATATTTGCTGAGTTTTACAACACTAGCAGATCTTGGCATCCAAAGAGAACGCTGTATAATGTTCATTTAAAAAAATAAATTTTGAACATATAATAATGAAAACTAAAGTGTGTACTGATGTAAAGATAAATGATATAGCTACACAGTGTAAGATAAATAATCAAAAAAATTCCATTAATTCCTAACAAGTGAATCATTTATCAATTGTAAGTTAATACTTGAGTATTTAAAAAGAAATCAGGTCTAGATTTAGACATTTGCTAGAACTCAGTTATAAAATTGACAGAAAGTTGTGACTTGTGACTGCAGATCTAAGAAAAACTTTTAGCCATTTTAGCCTACTTTAACCTGATTTCAGGAGCGCAGGGAGAGGGAACAGCAAGAGTTGGAAAGTGCTAAAGAGATTGCAGAGGAGGACTTTGACGGTTTTCCTTAAGTCTGGAGGCATGAGTAGTTCCATCATTTGAACTAGCATCTGTTATCTCACAAGGTGATTGAATGGACTGTTGACTCCTCATTACTTCACATTGAAAACATTCATTGGTCTTTTTTTTGGTTTCCATTCTTTTATTACAATTGTGAAAACTGAAGCCAATTATGTATTGCTATTAAAAAAGTTTTTTTTCACATGGCTTCTCATGTTTCTCATTATGTGCATTGAGTTGTTTCAAGCTCAAAGGTCAATATTTCCACATCGTCATTGTAGTGGTTTAGTTCAAATTTAATATGTTGTTTGAAGTGTGATAAGTGAAGTTATTTTTGTGAAATGATTGTTTAGCTTTGGGAGAAAGTGTTGTTGCTGTTTGAATGCTCATTAGCCATTTGAATGTTCATTAGCCCTTTAAGGCTGGCTGTATTTTGTTTTAAAATGGTGGTTTCATCATATTGCTATAAAAGATAGAAACGGAAAAACAAAAGAAATATTTTCAGAAAACCTGAAACCTATTTTCTAGCTGAGCAATGATATTTACCAGCTGGTAAAGTAATAGTTTGTTGTGAAACATTGGGTATTGTAACAAATGAGTTGAGATGGTAACACTTTTATGAGCCCGCTAACTTTGTTACGCTCCATACAGAACATTTTACAGATCACATATGAATTAATTGGAATTGAGCTATTTATCTTTTGTTTAACAAAACCAGGATTTAAAAAAGTTATTGATTTCTGGTTTTAAACAAAGTTTTTGGTAGTTCAATTGATATTTTAAACAATATTTATTTAGTACCGGTATGTGAGGAGCCCAGTGGATTAAAAATTTTCTTGATAAAATGAGGGAAATTTCAGATAATTAAAAAAAAAAAAATTAAATATGATTAAATTTTGCATATTCATTCATTAGTTGTGTTGTGATTTTGTGTCTTGACTGATTGCACCTGAGTAAAATCACGGCATTGAGGATTATTTAAAATTAAAGTTGTCAAAGGTGACTACAAATGAGCCCAATGACTAGAGAATATGGGAGTTAAGTTGTGTAGTGAAGCAAAGTCACAAGAGTTTGCCTTACAGCTGATTGAGTTGACTTAGTGATGTCACTAAGGGAGTGTGGGCTGAACTGGGTGACACAAGGAGTAACACCAAATAGATAACTGCAAATTTTACAACCCTTGATTGATTTCATGTCATACAATTCTCAGTTGAATACATTACAAGAGCAGGATTCCATCAGTCAGGGTGCCACCAGAGCAGTGAATTTACGGCACCGGGTATCATCAACCCAAGTGATGCCCTTGAGTTGACTTTTTAAACTAGGAATCTATCCTTCTCACTTACATATAAAATCGACAAAATGTTTGATTAAGTGTTACATTTACAAGACAGCATAAAGTAACATTTAAAGGACAACATTAAATGTTACATTTGCAAGACAGCATTAAATGTTACATGTACAAGATAGCATAAAATGTTACATTTACAAGACAGCATTAAATGTTTCATGTACAATACAGCATTAAGTTTTACATTTACAAGACATCATTAAGTGATACATTTACAAGACAGCATTAAAATGTAATTTAAATGTTAAATTTACAAGACAGCATTAATTGTTACATTTGCAAGACAGCATTAAATGTTACTTTTACAAGACAGCATTTAGTGATACATTTACAAAACAGCATTAAATGTTACATTTACAAGACAGCATTAAGTGTTACATTTACAAGACAGCATTAAGTGTTACATTTACAAGACAGCATTAAATGTTACATTTACAAGACAGCATTAAGTTTTACATGACAGCATTAAATATTACAAGTACAAGACAGCATTAAGTGTTACTTCTCCAAGACAGCATTAAGTTTTACATTTACATGACAGCATTAAATGTTACATTTACAAGACAGCATTAAATGTTACATTTACAAGACAGCATTAAGTTTTACATTTACATGACAGCATTAAATATTACAAGTACAAGACAGCATTAAGTGTTACTTCTCCAAGACAGCATTAAGTTTTACATTTACATGACAGCATTAAATGTTACATTTACAAGACAGCAAAAAGTGTCACTTCTCCAAGACAGCAAAAAGTGTCACTTCTCCAAGACAGCTAGAGACAAGAAGAAAAAATGGGCGGGAGTGGTTAATATAACGAATAGTTTGATCTGTTAGGACATGGAAATCCGCGGTTCCACAAACTATTTGTTTGTAACATCAGTTAAAGACTGTTTTAAAAGGAGGGCTGTTGCCGAACGGGGAAAAGAGAGTGCAGAATGTTCAGACCAATCATTGTGACATTTGCTGCCAATGGACACGTGATGAAACCTCGTCAATGTGACAGTGTGTTCACTTCAACCACAAGCTCCAAATGATTGGTTTCCCCCAAAACTGCGTGTTGAGTACAATGCATAATTCGAAAGACTACTGCTTCAAAGGGAATTTAGTTTCCATTTAGAAGGAAAGTGCATGATTAACATTTTATAAACTATAGGTACCCGGTATCTGACAATCTTCTTGTTATTTTTTAAAGCTAACAACTCCTATTGATCATAAATATTTGATAAATTCAATAGCGGTACAATGAATTCTCAGTTGAAAGAAATTATACACATTTCAAAACCTATTAAAACCAGCGACTTTCCCTAAGATCAACACTAAGAATATTTTGCGACCATTTAGATAATGATGCGTAATGATGGTTGGGGAGAATTTAATTTTTTTGTGGTCATTCATATAAATCACACATTGCATGAACGATTCATATAAATAATCGTGTCAGCTGATCAAGAGAAACGAATATCTCATAACAAACATTAATGTTAGTTTAAGAAATTGTATAATATGCATATGAAGAGTTTTGGTTACAAGGGGGTGGGGCTGAAAATTTGACAAAACACGCATACAAGTAACGTTCTTTAGAAGAATCCCAATAAGTGTCCCGCCCCCCCCCCCCCAGGCTCACAACCGCACATTTGTCAAGCCCCAGAACTATATTAATATTTACCCGATTTTACAACGCAGAATTATTTCAGCAACCATTTCAGGAAAACCCAAGAAAATATTATGCACCTTCTTCTTCTTCTTCTTCTATATCTTAAGGGCCCACGATCAATTTATTGATCATTTTGGCTCCTATGCATGTAGATGGGATTTGCAATGTTTCTGTTCCTCCATGTTCCCCTTGAAAAAACAGGACAAACGGATTTTTGGTGGTTGGGTCTGAAGCTGAAAATTTAAAAGAATGTGTTGTCATTGACAACGAGTCTATGTGCCAAGTTTCAGCTCGACAGAGAGCCTCTGTCTGCACTAGAATGTGTAGCGCCACCACTGGTTAATGAGCAGCCATGACTTATGGGATTGTGAAGCAAACAAACGGAAAAAAAGCAGATGCACTAAGCCAGGGGTCGGCAATCATTTCTTTAGTGAGGAGGCATTTAAAAAAAAATTATATCTGTTAAGAAAATATTTTAGTAGCCGTAGGCAGGGGTGGAGTGTTTAAATCTCAGTGTAGGTTAGTAACAAAGACTCACCATCAATTTCACATGCAGCCCCAAAGCTGTGGGTTGCCTAGCACTATACTAGACTGAGCATGTCCTACATTTACCTCCCATGAGTTCACAGCCCCAGGGCCGTGGATTGCCTAGTACTATGCTAGACTGAGTATGTCCTACATTTACCTCCCATGAGTTCACAGCCCCAGAGCCGTGGGTTGCCTAGTACAATGCTAGACTGAGTATGTCCTACATTCACCTCCCATGAGTTCACAGCCCCAAAGCTGTGGGTTGCCTAGTACTATGCTAGACTGAGCATGTCCTACATTCACCTCCCATGAGTTCACAGCCCCAGAGCCGTGGGTTGCCTAGTACTATGCTAGACTGAGTATGTCCTACATTCACCTCCCATGAGTTCACAGCCCCAAAGCTGTGGGTTGCCTAGTACTATACTAGACTGAGCATGTCCTACATTCACCTCCCATGAGTTCACAGCCCCAAAGCTGTGGGTTGCCTAGTACTATGCTAGACTGAGCATGTCCTACATTCACCTCACATGAGTTCACAGCCCCAGAGCCGTGGGTTGCCTAGTACTATGCTAGACTGAGTATGTCCTACATTCACCTCCCATGAGTTCACAGCCCCAGAGCTGTGGGTTGCCTATTACTATACTAGACTGAGTATGTCCTACATTCACCCCCCGCCCCCATGAATTCACCATCGTTAACTTATTTTTTGCGTTAATGGCATGGATCATCCTCATCCCCCCCACCCCCGCCCAATAACCCCACCACCACCAACAACAACATGAAAACTGAAGTTGTTTACAAGAAAAATTCTGTTAAAACTAAAATCAACATAAAAAGAAACCACAATGTTTCTGTTAGGGCAAAGTGACAACACATGAATCCTAGCTTTCCTTTTGTCAAACTGAGCACGATTTAATCAGTTCGATTTTACCTGATCCAGAAACCACCCCTTTAAGGGTAAATCCTAACATTTAAGAAGGGAGAGTCGATTATCCCCATTTATCTGTCGCCACATTCATTCTCAATGATATTTCCCCACGCTTATCCACATTGATCTGACACGACATAACTCACAAAAGGATCTGTCACCACATGGCTTTTAAAGGATCTGTCACTACATTCATCCTCCATGGATATGTCATTTCATTCACCCCCCATGGGTCTGTCACTAAAATCATCGCTCATGGATCTGTCACTTAATTCATCACCCATAGATCTGTCATTACATTCATCCTCCATGGATCTGTCATTTCATTCATCCCCCATGGATCTGTCACAAAAAATCATCGCTCGTGGATCTGTCACTTAATTCATCACCCATAATCTGTCACTACATTCATCCTCCATGGATCTGTCACTTAATTCATCACCCATAGATCTGTCACTACATTCATCCTCCATGGATCTGTCATTTCATTTATCCCCCATGAATCTGTCACTAAAATCCTAGCTCGTGGATCTGTCACTTAATTCATCACCCATAGATCTGTCACTATATTCATCCTCCATGGATCTGTCATTTCATTCATCCCCCATGGATCTGTCACTAAAATCCTAGCTCATGGATCTGTCACTTAATTCATCACCCATAGATCTGTCACTACATTCATCCTCCATGGATCTGTCATTTCATTCATTCCCCATGGATCTGTCACCTTTTTACTATCTAAATTCCGTAAGATTCTAAAGGTGTCGGTAAAAAGAAAATCTCAAAGAGTATGGTTCTTCTTGCTTAACTTGCATGAAAATAATCAGTAAATTATTGCCCTTATAGCATATATATTTTGGCAGGCCGTGCCCATTGACCATTGGCAACGTCCAGTCATCACAATGTTTGGCGGTTCAAGGTAATCAAAAGACCAGTCTTACTTTTCCCCCGTACTATCCCTCCAAGTTCAATCACGTGAAGACCCTAAGTGAATTGTGAAGCTGCTTGTCATCCCCATAACCTTAAAGCTCGTTTTCTTGTTCTGAAAAACCGCTCAATTTTTATGTCACACCCGGTCACCAATGAGATTTTCAGAAAACCTCCTCTTTTCGCTTTCCGGAGGGACAAGAGCCTTAGGGACATGCTACCTCCCCGCTATCAAAGCACATAAAGACACAAAAAAGTTGCAAACTTAGCCGTTGTAACATATGTCCCAATATGAGTGAAGTTAATAAGATAATTTTCCCTCTGGAAATATTCAGAATAAAAGATGGCTTTACCTGCACGAGTCGCAACGTGATTTACACCATTGTTTGCAAAAAGTGTGGTAAAGTATACGTAGGAGAGACAGGTCATCGCCTTAGAGACCGGTTCAGAGAACACATCTATAACATATATAAACAAGCTCTCTGACCGATCTCCAAACATTTCAATGGCCCTAACC